ATGCCGATCACATTTTCACATCAATCATTCTATTTGACTCCGTTTCAACTGCCATGCACGTTGATGCTTTGAACGCTCCTTGCGATAACTTGGTAGTCGGTTTGACCGACTTTTCAGGAGGCGATCTTTGGGTCGAATGGCCCGCTACGGTTCCTCGGAATCCTCACCTCAGGTATGAAACTCGTGAGTTCGATTCAGGTTCGGCCCTCGGGGCCCTCCTTCCAGTGTCACAGCATCCAGCTCTGTTCTGTGCCAAGCGCTTGCGGCATGAGACCTGTCCTTTTAAGGGTCGTCGGGTTATTCTAGTTGCGTATAGCTTGCAGGCTTCCGATCAAGCCAGTCCCGAAGATCAGGGAGCCCTGATCGGCTTGGGCTTTCGCCTGCCTGGGCCTGGTGACTTGCAGAACCCTAACCCTAATCCCCCTAGGCTGCTGCATGGCACGGATGGCGCCCCTCGCGCTTCGGCCTCATTCGCTCAGGTGTTCTCAGGTGATGGGGCTTTGGCCTCAAGCTTCAACAGAATCGGATGGCAGACCATAGCGATCGATCAACATGTGGTTCCGGGGCGACACAAGCACCAGCCCCTTGTTTGTGAGTTGTCGAGTTCCACTGGCCAGGACTTTGCTTTGCATATTCTAGAGGACTTTGGGCCGACCTTTGTGTACATTCGGCCTCCCTGTCGCACTGCGAACAAAGCCCGTGTCAGGTCATTGCCGTCTTCACACCCAGCAGTTGACAAGTGCCCGCCTTTGAGGTCACATGACAAGCCCTGGGGTCTTGCAGACCTTAACCCTAGACAGTCGGCACAGGTCCAAGCAGAAAATCGCCTCTTTCGCTTCTGTGCCAAGGTTCTCGTGTGGGCCCTCGCTAAAGGGGCCTTCGTTTGCATTGAGAACCCTGATGGCTCCCTGTTTTGGAGCTGCCTTGAATCTCTTCCAGAGTTTCAGTCTTGTCAGGCCTCCCTGGAGGCTTTCTGCGGTGACATGTGCATGCTTGGAGGTTCTAGGCCAGCTTCGATCAGGTTCCTCACCAACATTTCTGCGCTTCGTTCACTTGTTCACATGTGCCCCGGAGTGGGCGACGGGCACAAGCATGCCCCCTTTGGGTTTTTGTGCAAAAACGAACAACACCCTTCGCAGTTTGTGCAACTTGTGATCCAGGCTTGTTGTCAGGAGATCTCTTTCACTCCACCTCCTGCCCTGGCTCGGCCAGGAGATGAGGTGCGACAAACACGTAAGTCTCGTCAGCTTATGCCTGAGTTTTCCAGCATCAAGTGGCTGCGTCGTGACGACTTGCCTAGTTGCCCTCATAAATGCCTCCGGCCGGAGCAGGGGGCCCATCGCGGGGCCTTCAGCATTTCTGAGGGGTCTTTTGAGGGTCTCTTGGGTTCGTCGGTTTCTTCTGGTCCTCTTCCTTCTGGGCCCTCTTCGGTGCCCCCTTCGGTTTCGACTTCGGAGGTTTCTGACAAGATCCCCATAGGCATTTATGCGACTCCCGAGGAGTTCGTGCAGCGAGCTCGTGCTCTTCAACACCCGATGGCGGGTCCCAGCGTTGTCACGGACTCCTTCAAGAGAGGCTCTACATCGCTCTTTCTCTCCTGAGCTTCAGAAGGTTCTTAAAGGAAAACGACTTCTCCTCTTTAAGACCTTGCTGGAAGAGTACCGGTACGACGATGTTGGGGTCTGGGAGATGCTTCGGGACGGCCCTTCCTTGACTGGCACTCAGGACCATCCTCCCTATGCCGATCGTAGTTTTCGCCCGGCAACAGTTAGCACCGAACAGCTGGAGCGTGAATCTTCCTGGAGGCGGAAATTTGTGACCTCCAAAACTTCTTCACCCCAGGATGCTGCTACTCTGACTTCTCTTGGTGAAGGTGAGGTTTCGGCTGGATTCATTTCGGGACCATATCGAACAGCGGCCGAAGTTACTGAGGCTTTGGGAAGGCCAGACTGGATTGCAACTCCACGCTTTGTTTTGCTTCAGGGCTCCAAGGCCAAGCCCCGGGTTATCGACGATTGCAAATCTTCGGGTCTGAACTCATCTTTCTCCTCCACGGAGCGCCTTCGTCTGCAAGACCTCGACTATGTGGTGGCGATGATCAAGCTGGCTGGCAAGATGTCGGGTCGGCATAAAATTCGTATGGATCTTTCCACTGGTGATGTGCTCTGTGGTGATCGAGTGCTTCCCTCCGGCTCTGAGTGGCTTGGTCGATGTGTGGATCTAGCCAAAGCCTACAAGCAGATGGCTGTTCCTCGTTCCCAGCGCCACTTGGTGGTGCTCTGCCACCACGATGAACAAGGACTGCCTCTGTACTACATCTCGGAGTCCCTCCCCTTCGGGGCTGAGGGGTCGGTGTATGGATTCGTGCGCATGAGCCGAGCACTTTCATTTCTTATGAATGAGGCCATCCTTGTGCCGAGCTCGGTGTACTTCGACGATTTCCCAGCGATATCTCCCAAGGCTTCGTCAGCATCGGCTACCGCTGCCATTAAATTCTTGCTGTCCGCCCTCGGTTGGAGGTTCTCTACAGATCCAGATAAGGCGCGAGATTTCGATTCCACTTTCGATGTGTTGGGCTGCACCCTTGACTTGTCGGGCCTGGCCGGACCTTTCGGCTTCTTGGAGGTCCGCAACAAGCCTCGGCGGATCGAGCACATCACCGAGCTGCTGGACGAGTTGGGCAGCGGCCGGGGTGACTTCCGATTAGTTCCTGTGGTACAGGGTCAGCTCAACTTTGCATCGAACTTCGTTCTTGGTCGAGCCGTCGCTCCCCTTTCGCGAGCCCTGAGCTCTTCGAGCTCCGGTGAGATGAAGAGCTTGTGTGAGCGAATTCGCGATCTCCTGCGAGGGGCTCGTCCGAGGAGAGTGTCGTGGCACTCCCCGGATGCTCCTATTCTTATCTTCACTGATGCTGCTTTCGAGAAGGGGTTAGCAACCGTTGGCGCCGTCGTCATCGACACGATGGGTGGCCCGGCTTCCATTTATGACGGAGTTCTCCCCTCGTCTTTGGTGTCATCGTGGCAACGCTATGACGACGAGCAGATCATATGCCAGGCTGAATTGGCCGCAGCAGTCTGCATCCGCCACCGAGAACGCTACCGACTGACCGGCAGAAAATGCATTTACTTCATCGATAACGAAAGTGCCCGATTCGCGCTCATCCGAGCGGTATCGGGAGTACCCTCGATGCAATCCTTGGCCTCGTCATTTCACACGTGGGATCTGGACCACCCCCACTATCCTTGGATAGAGAGGGTGCCTTCGACCTCTAACCCAGCCGATCTCCCTTCGAGGGGGCGCATCAACGATTGCATTAGGCTTCTTGACGGACGACATGCAGGCAGCTTATGTATGCCGCCGGAGTTGGAAAACTTCGACCCGATGGGCGATTTCAAACCCCTTCGTGATGATGGGCCAACTTCGATACTGGCAATACCCAGACCACCTTTCGGATCCAGAAAGTAGATACGTATGTTGCTTGTCCTGCTTGGATACGCCCACTTGTTTCTGGATCCGCTACCATTTTGGGGTGAAACAGCGAAACCTATAACTTGAGCAAAAACACGCAAAGTCCAACAAATCTTTCTTCACACCAATGCAGCAGGTTGTTTTGCCGTTGTGTATGAGACAGGGCTGCATATATAAGCAAACGATTGTATATATATTGCACGAGCCAATATTTTTATGATTCTTATGAGCTTTCAACTCATAGACTGATGCTCATGATGCTTGAGCCGAAATATTGTGTGTCTCTCCTTACCTCTCCCCTCAAGTCTGGATTTCGGCTTAAGTTCTGTCAAGTTTGCGGTTTCCGGGACCTGGGTTGGGGCGTTGAAGTGTTTTCAGCTTTAGGGTGCACAAGACGACTGAAAGTACATAGCTCTTTGGGTGCTTGGGCTGATTGCTTGGGATTTGGCTGTAAGGTTTGCAGGCTTGGGTTTAGGGCCTGAGCTTCAAAGAGGGACCGCAAAGCAGACCCTTCCTCAAGCTAATCCCTTCGCACCCTGGACCCTAAGCCCTAGAACCGAAGCCGTAAGACCTTAACCGTAAACCTTACCAAAAAACCCGAAAGCCCTTCGATCTGCGTGCTCTTTCCGGGCCATCGGTCGACTTTCCTTGCTTCTTGGCCGAAATTCCGCGAAGCCAGGGGTAGAGCCGAAGATAGCAAGGACTACTGCTTCTCCGAATGCATATCGAATCGAATATGGATATAAGTACGGGATTTTGCAAGGCAACGGGTTTGAAGGCTCGTTCCCGGCGCACTATTTCTGTACATTTTGAAACTTGTAGCGCTCCGAAGCCAGTGTCGCGAACCCCGGCATCTCCTGAGATGACTGTGCTTATCACCCTACGACCTACGAGACCCCAATCTAAATTTCGCCTTTGCTGAAGAGTATGTCAAAACCTTCTGAAGGCCAGCAAGAATCGAGACTCGGAAGAGCCAGCACAACCAGTCACCAGTGGAACAGCCTCATTGGTTGGTTTACTTTAGTCTCCATAAAAACAAGCCTACAATCAGACCTGTCGACGTGCAGTTTCGGATTTCGGGAAGCAGTGTTCGCTGAGGCTTTCGGGGTTCGGAAGTTTTGGTTGGAATTAGAGCTTAGTGGGGCGTTCGTCCTACAGTTCCACACAACGAAGACCCTTGGCCAGCTTGGGACCGTCACAAGAAGAACAGCAAATAAAAACTTTGCTTCAGCTTAGGAGAAAATCCTGCTTATGCGGATGTGGTGCTTGGAGCTGCAACTCGGAAACAGTGATTCTTAGCACCAGCAGCTCGGCAGAAGAAGCAGCCTTCGGCAATCTTCCTGGGAAGGCAGCAGGGTCAGGGTACATATATATATATATACACAAATTTATTGGTAGGGTTTAGGATTTGGGGTTTAGGGTTCGGCCAAGGCTCAAGCTGAAAGGTTTCGTCCATGTTACCTATAACGGTTTCGTACAAAAAATACCACTGCCTAAAAAAACGAAGCCAACGGATCAAGTGCCGGCAGAGCTCAATCCTCATCCTCTGCCAACAGCTGTTCAAGCATAGAAAGCTTGCGATACACTGCAAGTGCCCATCCTCGTCTGTGAACCGACCGGCACACACGGGCGATCGCCCCGTTCAGGGATTCGTCGATGTAAGTGGAGTAAAAGCGGGGATTCCCCTTCAGCAGTGCCCTCTGAATCATATGGTACATCATATGACATTTAGGCATGAGAGGGATCTGGGCTCTGGCAGCCAGGCAGATGAACCTGTTGTAGTTGTCGAAGAGCAGTGCACAAGTGTCGGCATCGACCGCTCTCGGGTGAGCCGCCAGCACTGCATCGAAGTCCATCGCTGCAGTGCCTGCTCTCAGCAACAGATCGACAGAAGCAGCTTCAGTCGTCGAAGCCAGTTGTTCCGAATGCTTTGCAAGTCTATCGACGACGAAGTTGAGCAGCCCATGTGTCTCGGCAGCTTTCGCTTTGAGATATTTTCCAGCAATCATGGTCAAGGTCAGGTTCCACACCTGCAGGGGTCATCCATCGCTACTGAGGAAAGCTTAAGCGGGCTCTGGTTAGTGGGATGCGTCGGGCCTCTGAGCCTTTTCTCTTCCAATCTTCGTCTGATTCTCGGCGTCTCTTGTAGAACGACCAAAGTTCCGCACGAAGATGAAGCAAGGCGAGCTTGTCAGCCTCCTCTTTCTCCAGGTCCTTATAACTGGCCGGCTGATACACCGGCGAAGAAATCAGGGTTCGCAGCGAATGTGCGACATACGAGGACAATGGTCCGAAATGCCATGTGTGGAGCACATCTATGCACCAGCAGTCGATCGAGACCCCAGGTATTCTCAAAAAAGGTGATCGATGGAGGATGCGACCGTGCGTCCCGCCGGTGTAGAAGATACAGCTGAATGGTGTCGTGAGATGGATAAAGTTGTCCACGTCCAAAAGATGTTCAGATGGCTCCAGGCGATGGCCTCTACGAAGACCCAGCGGCGGGAAGGCCGCCTTCAAGCATCGTCCCCGACCATTCTTGCTGTAGCGGAGCAAGCTGTGAAGTCGCCGTTGGGTCTCGTCGTCGGGCACAATCACTTCCTATAGTTCGATTCACGGCTACCCGCTTCTTGGCTTTTAGGTTCTTTATTCTTATTCCTTGAATATACTTGATGAAGACAACAGAAAACTTTGCCTGCTGCGGAGTCCAGCGGCCCGGAAAGTCCGTGCTACGAGCTCGTCATAAGAGCTCTGCGTAAAAAGTGGGTTCGGCGAGGAATTCAAGGAATGTGTGCCGACGGCCAACAAGGAAGACTTATCCACCGTGCAGCATGGGCATGGATGGAGGTTGTGAGACCATGTCCGAAGGCCGCAAATCTCGACCAGTGCCGGCCAGTCGGCCTTGAAATCCAAAATCGCCGGTCGAATATCGGTGTGCTCACGGCTCATGTCACAACGGAAATGTTCCAGAAGCGGGAAGACTGAACACCAGCCACGACAGCCGCACGAGCAGAGCTCTGACAGCCCTGGGTGTGCGATGTTTTTCGGTAATGAAGAAACATATTGTCTTTGGTTATTTATAAGGTCTCTTCGGAAATAAGTTACGGTTATTACAACGGCAGCAATAACTATAATAACCCAAGGCACTCAAGAGCCACACCAGTTGTTGCTTCCCAGAGCGAAGGTTCGTCATGTAGAAGCCCAGAAAGTTTTCGTTCTTTGTGTATTGCACCCCATCAAAGTAAACAGACAGGGGAACGACGTGTTCCTGACGAAATCCTTCTTGAAAGGCTTTCTGGACCACGGGGTGGTTGCAGTACAAATCCCAGTAACCCTTATCGGCATCAAGGTGATCTTTCAGAAGCTTTGAGTTTGCACTTGCCCCGGACCCCAGGAGCCCTAAAACATTCAACTCACAACGAAGCAGATCGGATGTTACCCTTGTAGGATGCTGCACCGAGACTCGCCCGAAGGATTTCTTGCAGTTCATAGGCACATGCACGTATTCCACGTAGGGCTCTTCGAAGTCTTTGGCAAGATGGCATCTTAGCTTCTCACTGCCAATACTAGTATAATATACCGCTCTACCATTTCGCACATATTAGTGGGCTCGCCAGAAGAAAAGCTTTGGACAAACAACAACACAACCAAGCCAAGACCCCAAAGACCGAACAAACAACAAACAAAGAAACAGTGCCAAACTAAGACCCGGGAGCCGGAGATGTCTGGATCCATGAATGCTGGCCTGGTCCGGGTGCAGCCCCAGATCTTCAGTGCCCAGGCCGCCCGATTCAGTATGATGATAAGCCAGGATACAAGTGTCAGCAGCAGTGGCAGCTCCAGTCGTATATCGTTCCAGCAAGTGTTTTCTGAACTTGACCCCAGCCTCCTTTCGATATTCGGCGTCTTCTCTTTCAGCTGTATCGTCCACACAAAAACTTGTTTGCTCCAGCAAGCGAGCTCTCTTCAGACTCATGGACAGTCATGACGGCGAAGCGGTGAGCGTTCTCGATTTGAGGATTTGGGGCGCTCTGGGGTGATATACTTCATTCAGAAAGCTTCAGGATTTTGGGGTCTTCACAGTTTCGGTGGCGACATACTTTGTTCATCAAGCTTTAACACTTTAAGGCTTAGGGTTAAGGGTGGTGTTTTTAAGGCTTAGGGTTGAAGCTTAGGGTTAAGGGCCTTAAGGGTTGAGGCTTAGGGTTAAGGGTGGTGGTTTAAGGCTTAGGGTTAACTGTGGTGTTTTAAGGCTTAGGGTTAAGGGTTGTGTTTTGAAGCTTAGGGTTAAGGGTGGTGTTTTAAGGCTTAGGGTTGAGGCTTAGGGCTGGTGTTGAGTTTAAGCGGCATGAACTCTTGGTGGCTCAGCTTCGGGCCTAATCTTCGCACAACATCGACCAAGGATCTTCCGATGACTGCTACAGAATGTCGCTTGTCGCACAGCACTGAATGTGGCTTCAGCTTTCGCAGGCTCGGGGATTTCACGAAAGAGCTTTGGCTTCCGGGCTTTGAGGTTTCGGGCGGGGGTTTGAGGGTCGCTTCAAGCTGTGGACATGTTTCCATCGGACACTTCGGAACGGTCGCCGGTAACTATAGCTAGTGAAGCTGGCACAGCAGCAGGTGTCGCGATGCCGGTGCAGGTTCCTACAGTAATTATATATAGGCTTTAGGGTATAATAGGACTCGAAGAAACAGTAGCAAAGTATACAATAAGGAACGTTCTGCGTGAGGATTTGGGGGCCCTCCTGCACCGACAAGCTGAAACCTAATCCTGCATTCGCACCAGCCATGTGCAGATCGAGAGCAGTGCAACCGATTGTTTCAAGCCAGCCAAGCTCGCACTTCGGAGTTCCGGGATTGAGGCGGGGCTTGGGCTTAAGGTTTGGGGTTCCGGGTTGAGGGTCCAGGGTTCAGGGTTTCGGCAAATTGCAGGGTTGAGGGTTTTGGGTTTCGGGTTGAGGGTCCGAAAAAAGTCAGACTATTTTATTCCGGGTCCAGGGTGGTCCAGGGTTCAGGGTTTAGGCAAATTGCAGGGTTGAGGGTTTTGGGTTTCGGGTTGAGGGTCCGAAAAAAGTCAGACTATTTTATTCCGGGTCCAGGGTGGTCCAGGGTTCAGGGTTTAGGCAAATTGCAGGGTTGAGGGTTTTGGGTTTCGGGTTGAGGGTCCGAAAAAAGTCAGACTATTTTATTTCCAGGGTGGTCCAGGGTTTAGGCAAATTGCAGGGTTGAGGGTTTTGGGTTTCGGGTTGAGGGTCCGAAAAAAGTCAGACTATTTTATTCCGGGTCCAGGGAACAGGGTTTAGGCAAATTGCAGGGTTGAGGGTTTTGGGTTTCGGGTTGAGGGTCCGAAAAAAGTCAGACTATTTTATTCCGGGTCCAGGGTGGTCCAGGGTTGAGGGTCCGAAAAAAGTCAGACTTTTTTATTCCGGCCTACAGATGAACAGGTTCAGGGTTGAGGGTCCGAAAAAAGTCAGACTATTTTATTCCGGCCTACAGATGAACAGGTTCAGGGCTGAGGGTCCAGGGTTCAGGGTTGAGGAATAGGAATCTCTGGTTTGTGGTAAGTTGAAGGAATTTGGGATCATGTCGGCCAGCAATAACAATCGGCGACAAGCGGTTCGCATCGCTCAGCCGCCCGGGCTTAGCCGGGTTGCCCCGATCGGGCTGAGCACATTCCCCATACCAGCAGTGCATTCAGCAAGGGTTTTCGGTAAGCCAGGATTTTATTCGGGATGCAACGACTTTTGGGGGAGCAGCTACGAGTACTTCAGGATTTTTTCGGGCGTGGGTTGATGCTGTGTGGGTTCAAAGACTAAGACATTCCAGCTGCTATAAGCGCTAAACCCTAATAAGCCCTAAACCCCACACCCTAAACCCGGCTTTGAAAAAACCCAAGCTGCAACACTGCACCCCTCCAGCTGAGGATTTCGATCACACGGACAGCGATGCTGCGGAGGCCGATCGCTTGGGCACCTTCTTTTTCGACTTCGTAGAAGCCTTTGAAGGGGTGCCGGCGGCAGCTTCAGCTTGAGCATCGGACATAGAACGAATCTTGCTTGTACACTCGGACATCATCGCAATCTTCGGGCCCATCTGCAGACAAAACTCGCACAACTTTGAATGATAATCTAGCCCGTAGATCTTCTTCAGCCGAGAAGTCTCCTTGGCACTCAGTGCCGCGATCTTCATTTGGCCAAAAAACTCAACATCGGCGTACATAGCAAGGATCTCCGTTCGGAGACTCCGATACTGCTGGACGAAATCCTTCGCCCAACTCCAAACAGCGGGGTTGGCACTCATAGAGGATGCGATCTTCGACATCACATTGTCGCTTTCGGCTTCCAGGGCTAAGAACTCTTTGACTTCTCGCTCCTTTTTGCCGGTGGGGTTGCCTGCACCTTTCTTGGGCCTCTTAGAAGCACCCTGGCCTTCATCTCCATCTCCCCCAGAGCCAAGCAGAGGATTCTCACCGTCAGGACCCTGAGCACCATCGCCGGTTTTCATAGCCTTAGCTTTGCCCTTAGCCGCCGGTTTAGCCTTGGGAGCAGCCGGTGCAGGTGGGTTCGCGGCCGTCTGCTTATTGTTCGAAGCGGAGCCATCGCCACCAGGCTGAGGGAAAGCCGCGGGAGTGGACTCGTAGAGCTTTGCAAAGCCCTTGACTCCCAGTGTCGTCTGCTGTAGCATTTCCAAAGTGACATCTTTGGGAGCACATTGGTATTCCACAGCATACACCCGTACAGCCTTGCAGAACTCAGCTTTCTCAGACCAGCTGCCAGAAAGGGGGTTCTCCGACTCCACCGTCACCTCATTCATCCAGGCAGTCTCGGAAGCAGTAGAGACCAAACTTTCCACCCACAGATACGTGTCGGCCTTCAACCAATCGTTGTACATGTAGCAGAAGGGCTGCAGGGCATGGAAGCTGGCTTTGTGGTTTAAGGGGTTGCGGGTTTCGTGGTTTAGGTCTAGGTTTTGGTTTTGCGAACATAGCAAGTGTAGGGCTGGAGGGGGTTTGGGTTTAAGGATGTCTCAGGGTTTAAGTTATTTTGGGAACAAAGCAGGTTTAGGACTCAAGTGGTTTAGGGCTTCAGGGGTTTAAGTTTTTGGGTAGGGTTTTTTTACCATAGAGACCCAGCCTTCAAGTCCGGCCGAATGCACATGTTCACGTAGTTGCTAGCCTGGGACACAGCCTCGGCCTTGTCCGCTCCGCCAAGCAGCTGCTGGAGCTGCAACTCCGTCTTGAAGACACCGACGTCCTCCTTTCGCCGCCTGAACGTGTTCGTAGTGGAGCGGCGGGCGGTTGTAAACTCGAAGCTTTTCGTGCATGACCATGCTTGGCGAAATGCGATCTTTTCCGAATCCAAGAGAACCTGGTAGAGTTCGCGGACGTCCGGTCTGTGCTTCAGGGCTCTTTGGAAAGCCTGCCCCGTGGCCGAACGGGCTGACACATTCGTCTTCACCGTCGCCCAGTGAACAGGACCCTTCTCAGAGCCCTTGATCATCTCCTCGGTGACCTGCTCGATCGTGAGGCCGTGGTGCTCGGCGTAGTTGGTCCTGGCCTCCATCATCGCGGAGTCGGTGAGGATCACAGGCTGCTTGGCGGAATCAGGGGCTTCCGGAGAGTTCGTTCCAGGCTGCTTGGCGGAAGCAGGGGCTTCCGGAGAGTTCGTTCCCGGCTGCTTGGTGGAAGCAGGGGCTAAGGATTTCTCAGGGCTCGAGTCCGAAGCAGAGGCCGAAGGCGTTGAGGTCGGATCGGGATTCGAACTAGGAGGAGGCGAGCTGACTTGGGTCGCAGCATAGGCATCCAGGGACACGGTCGGGGCTGTTGTCAAGGCCATGGCAGCAGCCACTGCTTCGCCGTCCTGAGGCCATTGGGATACCTGGGTATCCAAACTGTCTGGCTGTGCAGACATTGTCTGCTGATCCTACAGCTATCGATCGAGCTACTCGTCGGCAAAATGCCAGCAGCTCCTTCGCCTGCATTTGAGCGTGGATCGCGACAGCCGCCGGCAGTCTTCAACACCGGAGGGGTACTATATCTATGAAGCCCATATACTATATATATATATATATATATATATGCTAGGGATACCCATAATAAACCTATATATATATATATATATAGTATTACACGAATTTGGGGGAGTATGTTTCTAGTCTTTAGATTAACACAAACCACAGCAACGGAAGGATCTAGAAACCCATGCGTATCTAGATCTGAGAGGTGCCACTATGCTAGGGTTACCCATATAGATTGTACAGGGTTTGGGCAAGGTAAGTTTCTAGTCTTTAGATTAACACAAACCACCGCAACGGAAGGATCTAGAAACCCATGCGTATCTAGATCTGAGAGGTGCCACTATGCTAGGGTTACCCATATAGATTGTACAGGGTTTGGGGAAGGTAAGTTTCTAGTCTTTAGATTAACACAAACCACAGCAACGGAAGGATCTAGAAACCCATGCGTATCTAGATCCGAAATACAAACAGCAGTGCGGAGCCTTAGGGAGATGAGTTTCTAGTCTTTAGATTGACCAATCCCAAACACGACTAGAGGTTCCAGAATCGACTTCGTATCCACATCCACTCGGCGAAACAATTCCATTGGTATACATAACCTATACGGGAAAGAGTTCTGGAGATTTGGGTAAGTAAGTTTCTAGTCTTTAGATTGACAGAAACCAGCACACTAGGTATCTAGATTTGACTGCGTATCCAGATCATCAATCATGTCTCTTTATTAAATTGATCATCACCACACCATCAAATTTTGGGTTGCGGGTGGCTTGGAATCAGGGCCTTGATACCTCATCGGGGACCTCATCGGGGATCTACTTTGGCTCATCAATATCTGTAGCTCTCTACACAACACGACAGCTGGTGCCCAACTAGGGTAGACCTCATCGGGGGACCTCATCGGGGATCTACTTCGGCTCATCAAGATCCCTGGCTCTCTATGATCCATGATACCGATGATGCCTCTTCGGGGATACCTCATTGCCTGGTGTTTTGGGCTTCTCACCACACAACACGGATTCGGCGGTTCTCGGCTTATTGTTTTGCACGACGACTTATGGTTTGCATCGAGGACGGATGCGAGCAACCGGCTGCTTCGAACTGGATCCTGGCCTGGCTGCCCCGATGCATCCAATCTGGAACCTCGCCTGAACTTATTACATATATAGAGCCTTAAAGAATACTAAGTAGAACCCTAGGGTATCGAACCCTTCCAACCCTCGCACCCCTCTAAATCCCAGACCCCCAAAAGGATCCAAAAAGTAGAGCCCCTAGTTTGGGATCCTATACTACTATAATTAAAGGGTCTTATTATATTATAGGAACCATATCAGCGATCTACTTTTTGGATCGTTTTGGGGGTCTGAATAAGTAGAACCTCGAAAACCCAAGCCCCACACTATGTGTGGTACATCAAACCCTGCCAAAGACTGGAACCCCTGAACAACGCATAAAGCCTCAGCAAACCAACAATCCCTTTATTACTAGGACCACCAACACGTGCAGCCTGAATAGTATAGCATACCATGGGTCGTCGGCTCATTCTACGACTGCTGGGAAGATGTATATATGTTAGAAGCTGCCCCCACCCTGTAATTAATAGTGGCCTAATAGGAATATAATAGGGCCCTATATAATATGAATATATTCCTTATAGTCACTATTACAGGGTGGGGGCAGCTTCTTATATATATATATATATATATATATGCCTGTATATATATATGTATATATACACACACAGCAGTAGGTATTGTCTCTATCCGTGAGTTCGTGTCGTGCTTGTCGGGGCAGGCTGTACTGCCACATGTTCTCGAATCCTACAAACATATGATATGCATCACGGCGAGAAATGTGCATGCCCCCCTCTATCTAAATATATATATATATATGTGTGTAACTTAGTTACATCTTATTATCCTAGGTACACACGGATTTAGACGTCAAGTATAAGAAGCACAGACCTATGTCAGATGTATACAGGGAATTAGGCCATGTGCAACAGGGGCCGGCGTGCAGGATGCTCGAAGTCTTGTGGTGAGGTCCAGGTGTCTGCGTGCACACAGCGGCTGCCGGGCTACAGATGTATAATGACTGAGTGTTGTAGCTATAGAGTCTAGAGGCACAAACATAGGAAGGATCGGACAGGCATTTCGGCAATCTAGGCACAGAAGGGTCCTGCTATTGATTGGGTTGGGTCCGGGAATATACATATAGGGTTCACGGTTTAGGGGTGCAAGTACAGACTATATGGTGGTAGGCACGACACCAGGTCCGCTCAGCACAGCTCAGTGGTGCTCCATTAAAAAAAAGATCGCGAGGGCGATCGCCAGCAGCGGAAGCAAACCGGTGCTGCTAAGATCAAAAGCCTCCGCCCTAGAAACCCCAAGTCGCCGAAGCCCTCAATTCCAAAGCCTTATTATATAGTCCTTACTTAAGCTGGCGGGAACAACAAGCAATGCCAGAAGAGATTACTCCTATCTACACACCCCCAAAGCCAAGAACCCTCCACCTGAATCCTAGCTAAGTTTCAGGTTGCTGGGGTAACGGGTTGTTCCAAATTCCACAAAAGCAATAAAGCACTAAGTTGCAAGCGGTCGGGATTGGTGCGTAGAAACCAAGGACTTCAGGGCTATTGTTCCTAGGCTTATACTGCGATGTGGAAGAGTATTTTACAACCCCGGTCAGTAATCGTTCCTCGATTAGAATATGCACAGCTAGCTGCAAGATTCAAGATAGTTCGGTCTGTATATATATATATATATATATTATATATCGGTATCGATATGTATATGTATGTATTTCGCTGTAACTACCTATATATATATATATATACAGACCGAACTATCTTGAATACATGCATACAGTGTACGGAAACCCTGCACCGGCTGCGTAGCTGTACATGCTGCTGCCTTTTGAAAGAAAGGCTGCTGTCGAAATCTCTCCAAATGGGATCACGGGACTTGGGTTTGCTATAGTATTACGGGCATTTGAACTGTTTGAACGGTCTTTCGGGTTTGCTACGATAGCGGGACCACACAGAGTGCTCTCTGAGGAGTTGAGCTCACAAGGTGCTTTGATAGGTCTTTGAAGGTTTGGCCGCTTGATTCAGATCTACTTCTTACATACATAAGTAGGCTCCATAATGTTGCGGTTTTTTAGAGCCATTGAAAGGACACTAGGCCAAATGAGACTACTCGTCGATTGTAGGTGATCCAAACTAGTAGGCCTATATGTGTCCTTCCAGGCTTGCAATTAAAGTACACACAGTAGGGTGCAGGCTTTGGGCTTGGGGTCTCGGGGTTGCCTAGTACCAGGCACTGCTCAATATTAGCATAGCAGGAACGACGGGGCACACGAAATGATACCTCACCCATCCTGCACCTATTCTACCAATTATATCATACCCCAGTGACATCAATTTCGCTAGGGATTATAGAGCTCACTCCTGAAAGCCTCCTGGAAAGCCGTGCTCACAGCCTGCGTTCGATTGGGCTCAGGGTTTGAAGCTGCTGGGTACTTGGGAATTAGGGCTCCTAGCAAAAGTTCGTGCGACTGGGTATACATCCAGGGGTCGATTGCACCGGAGCACATCTGAGGTTTCGAGGATGTGGCAGATGGTTCTTGGAGGACCTCCGGTGATATCCAGCTTATATATCGAGCCTCGACATATACAGCACAGAACCAACACAAGAAAACTTCTGCATGTGCCTAGTGTAGATCATCTCCGTTGTTCGTCAAAAGATCAGTGGCCGCGGAGCCCAGCCGCTCGAAGCCACCTGAGGTGGCAAAGGGCTTTGCTTAGGATTGGGTTTTGATGGTTGTGGTTAGAGTCAGGGCTTGCGGTTTAGTATATTCCAGTCTGTACCTAGATTACTTAAATTGCTACGATTATGATCACGTGGTAGGGAGCCTTCCAATGTCGGATCCATAGCATTCTCTTCCTCCTCTTCGCCGTCCTCCTCGCCGTCCTCCTCGCCGTCGTCCTCGTCATCCTCCTTGGCGGCTGCTCCGGCCCGCTGCGAAGGCCTTATCGCTGCTCGGTCCCAAAATCTGAATATATTACAAACCCCAAACCGATAGCCGAATAACTCCAAACCAAAAACAATACCCTGCGACCAAGCCTCGCCAGCGGAAAGCCATCCAGCTTCTGCTGGTTCACATACTCCCAAGACATCGGCTTCTTCCCCCAGTCGTGGTTCACAGCGTCGGCGTGCTTCAGCAAGCTGTCCCTGCATCGCCTGAAGTCGATTTCGGCACCATTGAGATTCATCTTCTCGTAGCACGTAGCCATTGTCTGCATCACGTGGGAGGCCTCAACCGTTCCCAATGGTGCGTCCTCCTTCAAGACGAACTGCAGCTTCTGCCTCCATGGGCCCATCGAAGGACCGAAGCGGTCCTCTTTGCATTCCAGCTTGAGGACCGGTGACTTCGACCCCTGGCTGGCATACTTCACTCGCACAGACGGCAGGATGAAGTCCGCCACGGGCCTCGCTTTGGCAGCCGCCTTCGGTTTTTTTTTCGGCTGCTCCGGCACATCGCCCACTCGCGG